CCCCCCCCCCCCCCTCCCCCCAGAGACATGCACAAGGAGATCCAGGTTTAATGACAAATTCAATGTATACACTACTTAATTTGCCAAGTTGTATAAAGTACATTACTGTATTATAAAATCGTAATTTATGGAATACTTACCATGAACATGATCTAATTTCAAAAGTGCCTTGTCCAGATCTATACTTCAGTAGGAATATCAGTAGGATTCAAATGTACAGTACAACCACAACCGATTGATTGTCAACCGTCATGCTTTGCATGCCAAAACCTGCTTCGAAACTGTTTCCCAGTTTCTGTTTTCAATCCATCACATATCTCAACCATCTTATGGCTATACTTGTTCATTTTAAGTTATTTATATTGAAAACGAAACAACGAAATATTTATCATTGTCATATTTGAATGGCTTCCCAAGTCCAGAAAGTCCAAAATAATATCATTATCTAGCCTCCTCCGCAGGCATCTCTTAACATTGAATGTCTCATCGTCGAGAACTTTTAAAAATAACTTATATAATTTAGTTATTCAAATAACTGATGTTCTGATTGGGTTACAGTCTGACCAAATAGTGTGACCAGATTTTTTCAGTAGTCATTACCAAAATTTTGCTCAAAAATTTACTAAATTAAGAAAAAATTTACCAAATGTCGCCTTGAACCATAGCTTGAATGGCTTCCCAAATAATTACGTCATAATAACGGCAGGTACAAAATGCAGGTTGCAGGTAACATTCTCGACTAATGCTGCCACGTCATGTATGCTCCTCGCAACAATTGAGACATTCGTCCCCCTGTAGGTCCAAGCCAATCTAGTCATTTTGAATGTTTTCACAGGGGTGATGGCACTCCTTAAGGTGGTCTTCCACCCAAATTTTCCAATATTCGTTATTTTTTAGAAAAACGTAAAAATGTAGTCTTTATAGCGTTCTTTATAGCGTTCTTTATAAAATCCGTGTAATTTTAAGAATGAAAATGTACCGTAAACCAGAGAAATCCAGCAAATTCTACACCTTCGTAGGGTAAAACCACGATTTTACCCGGAGCGATAAAGATATGCGATTGGTTTAGTCTATTGTTCCATTTTCAATTATATTGTTCTATCTAAGTTATTCTAATATATGCAAAACTTTAAAATCGCTTTTCTCACATGAGCATTTTGCGAAATACTAAAAACTCTCCTACTGTTCATACTGAATCAATTCGTTCGAAATTTTCAGAGTTTATTTGCTTGTTACATAGCCATGTCATGGACCTAAAAAAGTTCATATATCAGCAATATACATTGCAAGAGTTGCCTTATAAGAACTCCTTTCTTCATATAATTTAAAAAAAGTAAAATATGAAGGCCTTATTATATTACTTGTATATTTTTTTAGGTTCATGACATAGATCGATGTATTAAGTGTCCATTAAAGCTGTTTCTAAAATCCTCGGTAAATTAGTTTGGCTCACATCATTTTTGGAGCAAACCCTATATTTTACCCTACAGCGAGCCCTATCTTAGTTACTATGGCAACGACGAATGTAAAAGTTACTGATCCTGCATCAGCTGAGGATATTCCATCATATTTGACTCAACTATGATGATAAAACCTTTAAATTGAAAAAAATGTTTTTAGAGGCTAGGACATCATGATAGCAGGATAGATTGATATCAAAAGCGCTGAGTCAGAATGCAATAAGTATACAATTAAATTATACTAGAATTGGCCTAGAATACTTTATAGTGGTGCAAATTTCCAACCTGCAAAATTCATAACCTGCAAAATTCCAACCTGCAAAATTCCCAACCTGCAAAATTCCAACCTGCAACCTGCGTTTTGTACCTGCCGGTCATAATAATGCAAAAAAACAATAGTTACACCATCAAAGTAGAAAAAATATGCCCAAAAAGGTATCTCGAAATACTTGTTGCTTTCATCGTAGTGACGTAATATTTTCAAGTTAATTCCAGTATGAGTCGTGTTACATATAGGGGCAGGGGTGAATACTTTTTGTCACATATAGGGGCAGGGGTATAAACCTTATCTTAAGGTGGCTCCCTACAGTTATAGTTCAGTTTAAAACATTTATATAGCTCAGACGTAATCCTCGTGACTCGCGCGTGGAATTCTTCGTGGTCCGGTAAAAATCTTGAAACAAGCCGCGGGAACCTAAACTTTTCAACATTCGAACAGTACGTATTTTGTTAGCTAGTTTTTTACCTTTTTTTTTTATATATTTAATACGTTTTAGTACTGTATTTCATAATAATGCTCACAATGTTCAACAACAGTGTCACGGACTGAAAATTATTATATTTTATACTGTCTTCAAGGCACTCCTGAACTATCACTGAAACTTACGTAAATCTTGTCATTCAACTCACTTCACATGCACTTTTTTTAGCTGCTGAATGGCAATAAAACTATAATGCAGACAGTTACGAGTTGTTTTATACGAAAAGTCAAACTCTACTTGAATGTTTTGAAAAGTTTTCACACCGATTTTCACAACAAAACTAAATTTAAGAAACGTTGGATTAAGTCGATTAAGTCAGTGCGTTATTGTGTTCTCAATGTTTTGTATTTTGAATATATATATCTTTTATTTTCATTTCAAACTAAGTAAAAAATATCTGTGCGATACATATAAGCCAAAAACTCGACGAGAAAATTGCTAAAAAAGCCAACTATAAACCGTACGTGTTTCGTGTTCCTCACGCAAATAGTGATCATGCCGAATCGATATTTTGTCACGTCAACAGCTTCAACTGGATTTAGGGCTATTTTTCTCGCGTTTCCTTCGGTGAAAACTTTTTAAACTTTGCACGTTTGCTAAGCATGACGATTCGCCAAACATATCAAAATTTCAAGAAATTCTATAAGACAGATTTTTTGTGGTCGTTATTCATGAATATCTCAAAACCTGCCTTATAAACATCCCTTCAAATTTTAATATGTCATTCCCCTTTCAACCATAAATCTTAAAAAAAAAATTCAGAAAAATTGACGGAAGGAAAAAAAGATATTGCCGTTTGATTGTAAAATTAGACTATAAAAGTGCAAAAGATGAAACGTCATGGTTGCCATGGCAACACTAACACTGTTCATATTTGTTCATATGTCGACAGCAGAAGACTTCTGAACTTTCCTGGAAATGATTATATTGCCTTGTCTTAAGTGTGTTCAATATAAATTTGGTTCAAAACGAAGGTTACCTAAAATACTTAAAATTTTAGAAAACTGTAGGGAGCCACCTTAAATTAAACCTTATCTTAAACTAATACAGAGATTTATAACTCTGCCCCCATGTGTAACATAACTTTTACACCTGCCCCTATATCTAACATAAGGTGTTCACCCCTATATCAGTCTAAGATAACCAGTGGCGGCAACAGGGGGGGGGCAAGGGGGGGATGCCCCCCAATTATTCCCCCCCATTTTGCCCCCCCCCAAAAAAAAAATTATTAGTCACGGAGAGCGACTAAAGGCTACACAAATGCTGTTATTTTGTATTTTCGATCAGTTTATTTTCCTTTATATAAAATCAAATGCTAAAACAAGTCAATAATGATTATTTATGATTTAAAAGCAACCAAAGTGTATTTATTGTGATTTTTGCTGCTGTAAACTAGCTTTATTTATATACATAACAATTTAGTATTTAGGCATGTGCGAGCGACAATTATCCAATCAGAATCCAATATTTTCATTTTCCCGCGAATACGTTTGTTTTGATTACATCATTCATGATAGATACTATGACATCATAACTGAGACCCAGGTCATTGCGCGGAATTCAAGATGGCGTTGGGCAAATGTCACTGAGGGCAAATGTGCATTCCTCAATTTAGCCGCTAGTGTCACAATAATATTTATTGAGCCAAATTGTCTAAATTCGTATATAGGAACTACGCATCTTTAGAGTCGCATGTCGGGACTCTACTGCAAACCGCCAAAACCATGAACAAAATATTCACAATATGAAACCGCAACCACAGTCCACAGGTATTTAATTTTTTTAGGAATACTTCACAATTTAAGGACGATTTAACTAAAATCTGCAGTAGTCTGTTAAAAAGCATTTTTCAAGCATGTCCATGCTGTAAAACGATACGGAAAATAAATAATTTTACTTAGTTTACCTTCTGTTGTTTTGGGGGCGAATCGACTTTGGGGCAAAACGACTTGGGGCGAATCAACTTGGGGGCGAAACGACTTGTATTCGGGATGATTGAGTAATGTCCAGGTAAGAATCTTGTTATGTTTTATGAATAATAGAGCAATTTTGAAAGGAAATATTTGCTTTTTTCATTCGTGAATTTTGAGAATGCACGTGTTTGATGACCTCTGATGTTTCGGCTTAAAATTTGAATTTGCTGCGACAATTTCAAAGTAATATTTCGCTCGATATTACGAGCCGATGAAGCCTTAATAAGCGAAGATGAAACATCAGGGATGACTGAGTAATATCCAGCTAAGAATCTTGTTATGTTTTGTGTATAATAGAGCAATTTTGAAGGGAAATATTTTCTACTTCAATCTTCATTCGTGAATTTTGAGAATGCACGTGCAGCTGCTTGATGTTTCAGCTTAAAATTTGAATTTGCCGCGACAATATTTAAAACGATGATATAAAACAATAGTTTAATTCAAAGCTTAATACATTTGACTCAGTCTTTATATTAAATTATGTTTATTGTAACTAATGCCAAATAGTTAATAGTTGTGTAATATATGACAGATTCCAGTGGCAGTGTTTCTTGTATCAAAATTAAATAATATATTATAGCTTGGCATCTACTCAAGTTTCAATCCTCAATTCTTTATATGCTTATAAATACCTAGGCATATCCCAGCTAAATGTGCATGTCTCAGTTACAATAGTCATAGAATAAAAGTTATTCTGAATATTAAGGAGTGCATTATATATATATATAATACAGTAATTAACACACAATTTATAAAAACTGTATGTTTTGAATCAAATATGATTCACCTTCACCAGTGTTTCACAAGATATGTCGTTAAATTTGAAAGACATGTCATTATATTATATTCTTCTTATATCTATCTAGTATATTTGCTGAAATTATCAGCCGAAAAAGGATGTCTCATGCACTCCCTTACCAAACTGACATATATGTAAAATGTCTGCAAGTATCTGTCACATATCTGTTGCAGTACTGCAGCATAACTGCAACAAGGTCTACAATATCTGCAAAATATCTGCATAAAAGTTGCAGATATTTTGCAGATATGTTGAGTATCTGTCAACATATCTGCAAAATATCTGCATAAAAGTTGCAGATATTTGCAGATATGTCCATTGTCTGTCAAAATATCTGCAAACTATCTGCATAAAAGTTGCAGATATTTGCAGATATTATAATTGTCTGTCAAAATATCTGCAAACTATCTGCATAAAAGTTGCAGATATTTGCAGATATGTCAGTTGTCTGTCAAAATATCTGCAAAATATCTGCATAAAAATTGCAGCTATATATAGATATGCCAATTGTCTGTCAATATACAGTATCTCGACTACACAGCAAAAAAATAATTTCTTATTGAGAAAACAATTCTTACTTCAAGAAAATATTTGTTGAAATGAGAAACTAATTTTCTTAATTAGAAAAATGATTCTTAAAATTAGAAGTATTTGATTTGCAAGACATTTTTTGAAATAAGAAAAATTCTCTTAACATATCTTAAATTACATTTGTTTTCTTGAAATATGAATGTTTTCTTACGATTTCATCATCTTCATATCAAATCATTTTCTTAAGATAATTTTTAAAACATGAAATCAAATTCTTAACATAAGAAATAATGGTTAATAACAAATTATTTCTTACTTAAGTTTTCTCGAAGAATGAATATAAATTTGTTAAAATTTAAATATAACATCTTTTGCAATTTTTGCATTTTTTTCTCAAAATGATATATTTTTCCTCAATATTCTTTTAACAAGATGTCAAATGTCATCCTGGATTTAGATTCTATATGGGTTAGTATATTCACGTAATTAGCCTTTTCTCAGTGCATATTCTGGGGTCATTTGGAGGGTCAAAATATATGGAGACAGGCATCAAATATGTGAAAGAGTAGAAGTATCTACTATAAAATATCAACTTTTTACATGACCAAAAATGAGATATCTCCTTTTTACATTAAACTTTAATTTAAATGTGTGCTGTCTTTTTTTTTGTCCCTCCAACAAGGGATTCTTGCGACTAGACCCAGGACTTTGGGAAATAGCTAGTTAAATATACAAATTCTCTTCTATCATATTTATCTTTGTTAATTAATTTGTTATTAAAGTAAAATTGGGACAAAAATATTGTGTTTTATTTATATTAAAATGCTACATTTGCCCCCTTTAGGAAAGGAGACTTTGCCCCACCCCCTTTCCATCATTCGTGATACCATATAACTACATTCTAATTTAATTTCTAAAGTTGATTTCTTTCCATGTGTTATTGAATCATTGTAGAGAATTTTCATTTTCCGAGAATTTATTATCAATAAATTAATTAACAGTCAGTAACTGATTGAAAACATTTGTAAATATTCCTTATATTCG